AAATATATTTCATGATAATATGCATTTGGAAAGACTTAATAGAAATGAAGGAAATGTTCCTGATTGTTGATCCTCTCCCTATGAATATGAAGACATGTTAATTGATCTGAATTCAGTGGATTTCTTCAGGCTATGGAGTGAAGCCAAACTCCATCTTTCTGTAGGACCTCAGGTGTCTGCCCCATGGAAAGCATGTGTCCTGCAAAATAACAAAGATGCTTGTTATCAGCCTGGTGCTTCTCAAAGATAGGATAATTAACAGTTGAATCTTTTCCTTTCTGCGTTTTCTTTTCCTGGGAGGTTTTCTGTCTAATGAATCACTAAACTAACACTGGATTTATAAGCTGAAAGGCCAAAATGGCAACGCTAAAACAATGAAAAGTTAGTATTATTTTCCTAAATACTGTCTGAGGTGATCTTTGAACTCAAGGGGAAGCACTTACTTCAGCTGTGTGTGGGGGTGGGATCAGTTGTAATTGAGAAGATAGACTGTGGGTGCTTTTCCTCTGACATTTATTTTCTCATGCATTTTCATCAATCTATATTTGCTTTTGTTACCCATCATTATTTATCCTGTAAGATATGCATTGTGAGTACTTTTCTCTTACAGCTAATTGTAAGCATCCATCTCTTAGAATATGTACTCAGAGAGTGCTATCCAAAATAGCCTTGTTATTTTCTACACAGCAGTTTAATCATTACGATCTCATGTGATCTCATCTCCCCTGAGATGTGCTTCTTAAGATAATGTAGAGTTGCAATGTGTTTGTTAAAATTCAAGTTGAATAAATTACCATAGTATTCAGAGCATAGGCAAGGGAAAAACAGTATTTTCAAAAATCCTGTCTTGCATGCAGAGTACTCCACACGTTTCCCATTCTGCAACATACTGTGTTATTACAGATGCTTAAATGTCACCATAAAGTACAGGTCAATGTTGCTTAGACAACAGGATGGTTTCTGAAAAACAGAATTTTTGTTTTTGGGTTTTTTTTAAATCGTAAATTCAATGCCATCACCAAATTACAGCATGGACCATTAGAGCTGCCTAGAGCAATTATGTTGACTTATCCCAAACTAACCATAGACTGTACAAAGTTAAGTGAGATAATTAACCTCTTACTGCAAAAGGAACACTCAGTAAAAAAGTACATATGAGAGTAGATTAAAAAACTGATCAAGAAGTTAAAATGCCACAGTGATTTAAGTTTCTCAAAGCAAACTGGATGACATTTCTGAATTTTGATCTTATAGATTGTCATTTGACTTTTTGTGCCAAGACTCGAGTCACTCATTGTTATCTACATTTTCAATTCTTATCCATTTGCAGAAAAACATGATCCCAGAAAGCTTAGAAAGCAATTTCATTCATAATGAAGTGGTATAAAATTTTCACTTTGAGTCTCTGTAGGGAAGCATGGGTTATTGAAGGTTTTCTGTTGAGAAACAATTACTCCATCCATTTACTGAATATTGTTTATTTTTATTTTGTGTGAAATGCCCTGTGGGCCTCTTAGAACTTACTGGAAGAACCAATTTAGGAAGAAAATATCCAATTAGCTCAAAATTTTATGATACACATAGAGTTTGCATTCTTTGAGAGTCAATATGTTTGTTTTGGAGTCCTTGTGTGATTCCTGAGGTATTAGGCCTTGCCTTTGAAATTGTTCTCTATTTCAGCATGGTCATGAAGATAGGTTTGCTCAATTAAAGTTACTAAATGTAGTACATCAAAGGATTTCTTTTATTTATTTGTTTAGTTAGTTTTGCAATGCTGGGGATCAAACTAGCCTACAGAATGCTTAGAAAGTGCAAAAGATTTATTGTTCTTCCAATATTCCAAATATTGGAATATTCCAAATATATCAATAGTGGAAACATGCAAATTCACAGCTTGAGAAGGTAATTGAAATTAACCATCTCTGCTGTATTTAAGCCCAGGGTTTGTCTAGTCAATGTGAAGCAATTGTACTTTGTTTTAAGGTTTACTAATGTCAGAGTGGTAGGTTCCATCTTCCTGGATCTTCTATTTCTACCTTCTCCAAAGAGTTTGCCTCTCCAACCAAATATCTCCATGACCTCTGGTATCATCTGCCAGGTTCCTGCCTTCACATATTAAAAATATTAGCACATATGCATTTTCTTTTTAATAGCAATGATAGGTAAAATGTATTGAGCATAGATGCTCCATGCATCAACTACTATTCTCTTTATGAGTCAGGGCCCCCAAGTTTTACTGATGGTATTAACAAGCAGCATCCTGTGTCCTTGAATACACTCTTTCCTCCTGTGTACTTTATCAGATTTCTTACTCATTTTCTTCTCTTCTGTCCCTCAGTTCCTCCCTCCTATTATCCTTAATCTCTCCTTCTCTATTGGTTTCTTCCTTAATGGTACATTTTCAGTTCTTTTATCTTAGGTAAATCATTTCTGATCTAATTTCTCTTTATCTAGTATTCTGTTACTTCATCTTTTCGTCATCTCTGTATTATATATATGTTACGTAGTTTTAGTCAATATATTTTAGATTACATGTAATACATATATAATGAAAAGGAGGCAATATAAAATATATAAATGACATGTGCATAAGAGCATATATGCATATATGTGTGTATAGAGAAATGTGGGGTCCTGATGCAAGAATATGGTTCATAATTAGAATATAGTCTTGTTGGCAGTTTGATGCCAGAGAGAGAGAGAGAGAGAGAGAGAGAGAGAGAGAGAGAGTTGACTCTCCAGACACACAGGTTCAATATATATTGATTCCATCAGGTTGAAATATTTCAACTGTACTGAACATGAACACATTTTTCTTGTCTTTACTCCTTAAACAATAGAGTGTAACAACTATTTACATAGTATTTGCATTGTATTAAGTATACACAATCTAGGGATAAATTAAATATATGACAAAATGTATGTAGCTTGTGTTCAAATATTGCACCATTATATATAAGGGAGTTGGTGTCCACTAAATGAGGTCCTAGAACCAATCCCCGATGGATACCAAGAAACGACTGTATATACATTTATGTAAATATAAAAAAGAGAGTGCACACTATTAATCTCAGGTAGTCTGCAATATGCTTTAAAGGCATGTGGCCATTCATTCATTCAAGAAATACTACATTTGAATGTCTACTCTATGCCAAGCACTATTCAAGTTTCTAAAACTTTAGCTGCAAATAATAAAGATAATATTCCTGCCTCTAGAGGGCTTACAGTCAACTAGAGAAGTAAAATGTTAGTCAAATAAGCATACAGATATATAACTGGCCACTTGTTAGGTGCTGTAAAGCACAGACAGAAAATAGGTTTTATTTGTTTTTTGAGACAGGGTCTTGATATGTGCCCATGCTAGTCTCAAACTCATGGTTCTTCTGCTTCAGCTTCCTAACTGCTGGAACTATAAGCTTCCACTGACACATCCAGCTAATTTTTTTAACTGACACATAATAATTATATGTGATTTAGGGGTATAATATGATGTTTCAATACATGTATACATTGCATAATGATCAGCACAGATGATGTTCCAATTGATCTCTTGGGTTAAGGGAACTGACTGAAATCTGAAGGTTGAATTCAGGCTAACCAGACACAGGGAATACTTTTTGTAAGTGTGCCAGAGGTAAAAGAAGCAATTGTGAAAGAAGACTTGTGTGACAGGAGAAAAGCAAGCAAAGGATAGAATTTGTGAGGCCATGAAGTTAGAGAAAGACAGGGTTGGAGTTCAGATTTAGGATGATGAGATTTACATTTCTTCTTTATTTTTTATTATAAAATGTTTTATTAGGTTACTCTCTATGTTTCTCAGAAGTTCTCATCTCATTCATTTTTCACTCATTTTTACTTCTATGCAGGGATTCAATTATTATTGCGTGCTCATTAATACAAATCTTTGTTCTATGATAGGCTAAGATATAAAGAGGGTTTTTTTATAAAGTGATTATCTTTGATTATCTCTTCAAGGCCAGCACTGGTCTTCATTTTAAACCCATCCCCCCCCAAAAAAAGAGACAGAGTCCCTGAGGGAAATCTTAAATAACACATTTTTTTTTTTTACAATTACTTGGAAACTTTTGGGAATTTTACACTTTCCTACTTGAAATATATTCTTGTTCCTTGATTGGCTTTCTAGTTCATTGTTCCCAGATTCTTGTTTGGTACCTTGACATAGCTAAGAAAATTATCACATGACTAGCAAGCTTTCATGGACAGCTCTACCCAAGATCATGAACAGGTCCCTGTGTGCTATAGGAAATTTCACCAGGACTTTCTCACTCAAGCAAATATAGCCAAGATCTAAATGGTGTGTATAATATAAAATCTGTATTCTGTACATTTTTGACACATAAATTTGTCTTATAATGAGTTTTGATATACACATAAAAATCTTGCAACAGAAGTGGTACTATTTCAGACCAAGTTGAGATCCTCTACTCAGGTCTAATGTCCTCAATGTCTTTCCTGTCCACCCTACTGAACAGCACAAAAGGTGGAGGTATTTATTGACTGTGACTTGCATACATGGTGTATACTGACACTGGGCTGAAAGCCTTTTTAGGGTGTTTACTACCCATTTGCAGAGATACAGCATGTATGTATTAAAGATATAAGCCATAAAAGATAAAAGGCATTCTAACTGCTGAGTAATCCATCATAATACGTATTTTTGGAAAACACTTTATACTTCTTTGATAATGGCATTCCCCAAATTAGGTGTAAGGTTGAATTATGCTTAATGATTAAATATTGCTGCATAAAAACATCAAGCAAAGTTCAAATTGGTAGGGCATCTTTTCTCACTCAACTGTGTGTTTGTGTGTACATGCGTGTTGTATGTGTGTGTGTGTAAATTTCCTTTATTCCCAAAATGTTAAAGACTGGTGTATTATACCTTATCAGCATAATGCAAGACATTCTGTAAAAAAAATACAGTTAGATTTGAAAAATAACAGTTGTACATGTATTGATCATATTTCTGTATCCTTTAGGATTTCTTTTTTAAGTGATGGTGGACTCAGAATAGCCAATGTGACCAAAGCTGATGCTGGAATCTACACCTGCACCGCAGAAAACCAGTTTGGGAAAGCTAATGGTACAACACACTTGGTTGTTACAGGTAGGTGCATTTCTCAAGGATTGCTTTACCAAGGGATATACTGTCACATATTATTTATCATAGTTAAAGAAATCAGCCATGTGGGTTTTTTTTAATAATATCCAGTACACTATAAACATAGAATAAGTGTTCACACTTATTTCATTTTTAACAAGTGAAAATCAAAGACACAATACTTAATATTTCTTTAACATGGCACAGTGTATCTGGGAAGACACCTTCCTTACTATTTTAGAATGATGGGCAGTAAGAATTACAAGTAGTATATGTTGATTTTTCATTTCACGCTATCCTATTTTGTTAAATCTTTTGGGTTCACTTTCTCATTTCCATTTTTATTAGTTTTTTCTTGAGATAGTTAGGTTTCTGGAATATTCCTTGGTGCCAATGAGATTTTCTTATAGTTGTTAATACATTTTGTTCATTTATTCATTAAAGAAAATAGTTGAACACCTATTGTGTGCCAGGTGCTTGGGTTATATCAGTGGGAACATTGACAAAGATCCTACCCTCATGAATCTTACATTCTTCCAGAAAGAAAGTAAGCAGTAAGAGCAAGAAACGAGATTATTAGAAAGAGGGAGCCTATGAGAGAGTGAAACAAGGTAATCACAATTAGCCTCAAAAATGGGACAACAATTTCACAGAGATGAAGGTATTAACTAGCAGATTTCTTGTAGACAGTTATGTAGACAGCATGTAGACCTTGTTAAGACTTCTACGTTCTGTTGGATTTCACTGGATTGGAGCCAGTGTAATGTTTTTGGTAGAGAAATGAAATGACAGAAATGCATTTTTAAAGGATGACTCTGGCTGCTCTGTTGAGAAGACACCGTGGGGATCAAGAGCAGAGGCAGCAGAAATCTTCAGGAGAGCATTGCTGTAAACCAGGCAGGAGATGACAATGTCCCAAATAGAGTTGGCAGCCAAGTTGATGGGATAGGATCAGATTCCGCATATATTCAACATGTAGAGTCAGCAGGAGATGATGACAAATTGGGTGTGAGATCTCTGAGAAAGAAAGGAGTCAAAAATGACAGTGTGTTTGGTGAACAACAGGACTAATGGCAACCAAAACAAAAACACCTGAGATGGCATGGCCACTAAATTGAACAGCTCTGAGGAGGGAGAAGATCATGAGTTCCATTGCAGCATGTTGGATAAGAAATGTTTACTCAGCTATTTGTAAAGCAGATCATGGATTTGCCTTAATTTCAGGGGATAAAATAGCATACGTTTATTTTTTGCTCATGCTGTAAGTGTATGATGACTCAGCTATGCTCTCCTCATGGAGAACTAAAGGCTTCTAGTGTCTCAACCACTACGGAAGAGAGTGGAAGGCAAGACAATTTCCCCATTATCTCTTCCACAGTTCAGCCTGTTGGTTCCATATGTAACTCCTACTTACACTTCATCAGCCAAAGCATAGCCTTTGACGATGCCTGAATTTAAGTGTTCAGAGTTTAAGTTTATTATGTGCCCTAAATGAAGTAATAATGAATGACCCCTCAACGGAGATGCTGAGTGAGTTGGTTATGTGAACTTGAATTTGGGGAGAGAGATCAAGGATGAAGATACACATTTAGCAGTTATTAGCATATAAATGGGTACTTGAAGCCAAGACATTAGCTGAAATCACCAAAAGAGTGAGTGAAGACAGGGAATTAAAAATAATCACAGTGAATCCCATTAATTTATATAGTTTATATGTGTTAATAATTATAATTTTAATAAGTGACTGAGCTTGACACATGAAGAAATTTAGGAACAGAAGAGGTCTCATAAAGGGAGACAGAAAAGGACTAATCAGTATCTACTATGCTGAAGAGAACAAGGAGAATGTGGTGTTCCAGAAACTAAAGGTGGAAAGTGAGCTATGAGTACTGCAGATAAAGCTGAGAGGTCAAGCGTACGAGGCCAAAAATTTATCAGTGAATATTGCAGCAGGTGGTTACTGGAGATGGTGATGGGGCCAAGAGGTGGGAGGGTGGGACAAGGGAACCAAAGCCTAGTGGACTGGGTTAAAGATGTAATTCAGTCAGGTAATTGCAGACTACATATATATATGACTTTTGGGAAGAATTTTGCTGCCACATGGTACAAAGACCTAGAGAACAGCTGTGAGAAAAGTGGGGTCAAGTGAAGTGCAATTCATGATAGACAGAAGTTCTGGATGATGACAGGGAAAAATGTGCCTGCAGATATTCACATGAAGAAAACAGACATTAATTAGCATTTTAACATAGTGCCCTCTCACTGTAACTGTTTAAAGCATCGTTTGCGTAGTTTTCAAATCAATGCAAGCATAGTTTGTGTCTACTTAAATTTTGATATTAATGCATTTATGACTACACAGTAGTTTCTATTTCTGCCCCTGTATTTTGCAAAGCAACAAAACTAACTTAAACTTGATTTTGTCAGTGACATTATAACTCTTGTTTACAGGTAACTTTTAGTTTCTAAACTTATATATCTTATAAACTCATATATCTTAATTTCTCTAATAAGAATTTGTAGAGCCAGTAAAATACCACTCCACAGCAAAATTTCTGAGTTAACCTTAAAGATTTTAACAACATAGATGAATATGTGTATCTAGGCATAAACATAAACACTGTTGTCAGATGAATACTGTACTTGTACTAACTGCTTTCATCACAATAAAAATCTAGTTTTATTTATAAATTATATTTTCTCAATAGAACCAACAAGAATAACTCTGGCACCGTCTAACATGGATGTTTCAGTGGGTGAAAGCATCATTTTACCCTGCCAGGTGCAACATGACCCTCTCTTAGACACTATGTTTACCTGGTATTTCAATGGCTCCCTCACGGATTTTAAGAAAGATGGATCTCACTTTGAGAAAGTTGGTGGGGTAAGTGGTGTCACATTTCTTACATTTTGTGTATTATGCGTGTCTCTGACCCATTGCCTCTAAAAAACATCTGGCACACAGGTGACATCCATAAATGTTTGTTAAATGATTGAATCTGATTTCTTAATTCTGTTCTGATCTAATTTTATTTTTGTCATGACCAGAAATTAAGCACATTTACTTCAACCCATAATTTTAATTAAAATCAATACATGTTGTGCTTATATTAAATGTTATTCCTCATGACAGTTTTATTGTTCATAACCCATGGAAGGGAAAGTGTGTTTTTCATACAGTGTTTCTTTTCCATAAGGTAATTATAATGAAGTAGGGGGTAAGTTACATTTATTAAGTACTTTATCCCATTGCTTCATCCCAGTTAATGTGTCAGGGTAGAAGCTTATTCCCCAGTAATCCTTGCAGTTGCACTGGACATGGCCATAAGATTCCTTATTTTCCAGGAATACAAATCAAGGGTGGAAAAGTGTAGTAACTTTCTCAGAGTCATTCAGCGAGTTGGTGATGGAAGCCCAGATCTGTGTGTGCCAACACATAAATTCTAAAGCTCTATTCCCACCCTGTCTCCTCATTTGTGATGGCTCCTTGTTAGAAAAACTTGCAGATTTCAAGGAAAAGTTGATACTTGGAGAATAGTTTAAAAAATGGCCCAATGTTGGTGAGCCAACTGAAACTAACACTAGGCCTCATAGCTGGTTACATACCTTTAACTCTAAAGTAACAAGGCCAGCCTCTTTTGAAGGCCTGTTGCACTGATTTGATTCAAGGATAATCTTATTCTTTATGAAATGAAGTCAAGTCTGAGTTTTTCCCTGATGTACTCGACCGTACTCATTTGACGGAGGCTTCTTATTAAATATATTTAAATGTATATAAGGATTGTACTCAAAATGATGCTGGTAGGAGTTTTGTGACCTCCTAAAACATATGTTCAAGTCTTAATGCCCAATACCTCCAGATGTGACCTTACTTGGAAATACAGTTCTTGAAAAAGTAATTAAATTAAGATGAGGTCATCTTGGAGTAGGGTGATATAACTGGTGTCCTTATACAAACAGGGAAGTTTGGATCGAGATATACAAAGAGGAGGACACCATGAGTGGACACAAACATAGAGGAGCAAAGGCTGAGTAATAATGGAGGCAAGAGATTGGAGTGATATTCACACAAGTGAAGGCATGCCTAGGGCACCAGAGGAAAGGAAGGATACACCCCCTAGATATTCTGGAGGAGGTATGTCCCTACCAGCACCTTGATTTCACACTTGGCCTCCATAGACTGGAGGTGTGGCTGCCTAACAAGTATGAGGTCCTGAATTCAAACCATAGTTCTGACAAAAAAAAAAAAAAACACAAACTTGGCCTCCAGAACAGTAAGAAGACACACAGCTGTTGTTTTAAGTCACTCAGTTTGTGATGCTTTGTTATAGCAACCCTAGGAAACTAAAATAGAAAAATATTAATAGAAAATTATGATGTTAGCTACTTAGCCACAATTAAGTACAATTTCATTATCATTTTGTTTTCTGTCATTTGGCCTTGTTAGTTTTAGAAGTAGTAATTTTATAATTGTCCTCACTGATTGAAGACTCTGGAGAATGCTGTCAATTGATACAACCATCTTATTGCTTTAAATTCTCATTCTCTTACTCTAAATCTTCCTCGGCAACTTTTCCTTTACCTGGTTTCATTGTTCATATTTTTTCTGTTATTGCAAACAAGGAATTTATCAATAAACATGCTAGAAAAAGAGACAAGCAGACTATCTAGGTATTAATGTGCATGCTACAATGAACACAGCATGAGAGGACAAGAACTATTACATAATTCCCTTCTCAGGCAACAGAACACCGATTTACTTAATTGCTCGTGCTTAAGGGCAGTGTCATCTTCTACGGCTTAGTGTTTTATACTGATGGGAGAATATTAAGCTACTAATGGCACAAGTCAATAAAAAAATTCATAGGCCATGAACTAGCATGCTATGCAAAGAAGAAAATTTGCAAGTGGTGGCATTAATTTATGAAATTTCACATTTCAGACACTTGACTCTTCATAGATATGACTTTATGCCTTCTGTACAACCCATCAGTGCTGTGCAAATCAGGAGAGTTAAATTACATTATCAACTCTAACAATCTTAACTACAAGTTCCTCTTACAGAAAGTAGCAATCTAGTTCAGACTTTGAGCATTTCTGTGTGGCTGTGTAATGCTTATTACAAACTTCTTTAGATTTTCAGTCTTTCAGAACATACTTCTTTAGGATTAACTAATGAAGAGGGTCTTGTATTGGATAAGATATTATCAAGAGTTTACAATCTAGCTGATAAATCACAAGCATATTTATAAAGGTAACTAATGGTTCAACTGAATTTTGTTTTTCTAGTAGTAGGAATTAAAACCAGGGTCTCATGCATGCTACGCAAGAACTCTACCACTTGAGCCCTACCATCAGCCCTCACACCATCTTTTTTTCAGTACTTTTGTACTTAGGAGGCTTGTCTAGCCCTTTTTTTCTCCAAGAGGAGAAATGAGACAAGAGTAAGATCTTTGTTTTTAAAGGGGGAGGAGTGTTTAAATTCTGGAAAATCCAGGTCATGCCTTTGAACCAGTTCTGCCACTTGTTATTGGGACTGTCCTAGATATTCAGTATTCGATCATTTGTCTTTAAAAAACTTATCTTTTGGGGGAAAAAATCCATAAACTTAAAAAATCCCATGAATACATTTTTGTATTCATGTGTACTATGTACACTTAAACGTTGAGCCAAAGGCATGAGATGATATAGGCATGGTGAGGTGTGCTTGGAGAAGTGCAGAACTTCTGCTCAGATACACAAGAGTTCTAGGGAACTGTTGCTTACTCAGTGGTGTCTGTGAGTGAGTGATCACTTAACTTTCTGATCTATTTTCACATCGGTTTTTACTATATGCTGTGTCCCTTCCCTTCATGAAATCTTGTACACACTGGTCTCTATCAGGAATACTGTTTTCTTTCTTTGCCTGTGTCTAAATATTTCCATATATAATGGTATATATATATACACACACACACACACACACTCAAGCATGCGTACTTTAATTTCATATATGCACAATTAGAAGAAGAGACACAGATCCAGTAATATGTATGTGGTAGAATGCTGTCATACCCATATTTATCCCACAGAATTCCACACTATGGAGGAAAACAGAAACTGCATTATTTACCCCCATATGACAACTTTCTATTCTTACCTTTAAATAGACCTCAACTTTCAGTGATAGGAACAGAGAAGTAATAGCCCAAAGGGCAAGAGAAACAAAGGAACACTGTTGGATAGTATTTAAAGACCTAGACCTAGGGTCTGGCAGTATAAATCTGATTTTAGGGACATTTAAGGATATTTTTTTACTTCCTTACTAAGCTAAATATTGGATTTAAGATACACTATATGGTAGGAGCTCACCAAAGTTAGAAACATTTAAAACCAAACACACTAGGCATGTACTATCCTTTAAGGTTGTTAAATGTATATGCTTTGATAAGCCTTATGGCTCAGGTATTTTAGAAATGAAGAATGTCTAGAACCAGTCTGTACAATTTTACAAACATTTGTGGAATTGGATCTATAATGAATTAGAATGTGTGTGGATAAAAGTCACTGGAAGCAATAAGAAGTTTAGCTGTGACAACCAGTCTGCCATTTCGTTTAACTGACTCACTTCAATATGATTTATTTCCCACAAGCCACAATCTCACTGTGGTTACAGCAGCTACTCATGAGCTTGATTCTTGACATATTTTCCAGTTCTCAGTAGTAGAAAATCATATCTTTGAAAGTGATCCTTTGCATCTGATAGTGTTCAGGTGGTCACTTTGACTTGATTTATTTCATCGAATTATTTGGGTTTGAGAACTAGTATTTTGGCAACCAATTCTTTTACAGTGTACAACTATGTAAACAACTATATGTGGATTTTAAATATAGCACTGAGACAAACTGATTTTGTGGCACTCTGGGTTTTTAAACATCTTCCACTTGGACTGTCTTATAAATTGTGCCTATTGTCCAAACTCAAAACATCAGCTTACTTGGAAAGGTCATTAAGAGAATATAACCAGTAGTGACAATACAAAAGTAGAGATCACAGCCAGGCACTAGTGACTCACACTTGTAATCCTAGCTTCTTGGGAGACTGAGTATTGGGAGGATTGGGATTCAAAGCCAGCCCAGGTAATTAGTTCACAAGACTCCAAATCCAGAGCAAAATGGACTGGAGGTGTGGCTCAGTGGTAAAGTATCTGTTTTGCAAGTGTGAAGCCTTCAGTTCAAATCCCAGCCCCCTCTCCCCCCCAAAAAGTGAAATCACACCACAGAAATCATTCTTTTACTAGAAGCATTTAATTATATACATTAGTATTAGTTGTACTTACCCTTCCCCTCCTATCTTATTATTCAGCGGGTTTCAGTATGTATTGTTATGTCATCTATCTGTACAAAAAAGTCAATATTGTTGACTTGACATCATTCTATTTTCCTTTTCCTCTTCTCCTGAGTTTCATAGAGTAGTTTCACTATTACACACATGCTCTCTATATAAGTCTGTATATGATCATGTTTGGTTTTGTATATGTTTATCTCTTGGATCTATCTTCCACATATGAGAGAAAACATGCAGCCTTTGTTTTTCTGAATCTGGCTTACTTCACTTAACATGATGTCTTCTAATCCCATCTATTTACCTGCAAACAGCATACATAGTTCATTCTTCTTTATGGCCCAGGAATATTCATATATATATATATATATATATATATATATATATATATATATATATATATATATATATACACATATATAAATATATATATATATCACATATATAAATGTGATATATATATCACATTTTCTTAATTGATTCATCTATTGTAGATCATTTGGGCTGTTTTCGTAGCTTGAATAGTGCTGCAATAAACATGGATGTACAGTTGTCTCTGT